CTTCCTTCCTTCCTTCCTTCCTTCCTTCCTTCCTTCCTTCCTTCCTCCCTCTGGTTTTGTTGCATCTAGAAGGTTTTTTCTTTGCTCTTGCCTTTGTAGTTTACGGTTACGCATCATTTATCATGATGCGTAACCGTGGCAACAGGGTGTTGTTTTAGCAGCTGAGAGCAGCTGATTCGCACCTCAAAGCTCAAACTACACCTGAACTACAACTCCAAATCCCAGAGGAGCTGGAAAAGAGGCTTCTTTTATGGAAGACCAAATCCCCGACTCCAGCGTCTCTCTGCATTCTGACCACACGGCCAGAAAGATGAAAAAAGCAGCGACAAAGCCAATGAGGTGGATCGTGACTTATTCCTGTTAAATATTTTCTCGAGCTGTTAGCATGTCATGACAGTCACTGTCACCCAGAGGCAGTCTACAGTCAGGTCTCTTCAGTCATTTCTGCTCCTAGCATCCACAACGACTCTTTGAAGACACTTAATCAGACATGTTACGACATTTTTATTCCATTATGGATAAATAAAAAATTCTTGAATTTAATCTATTAAACGTTTATCTTAATAATTTTGTGTTTAGTTTTGGTTCCCTAAACCAGCTCAGAGCCCCGCTCCTCACCGCCAGGATCGGCTTTGAACTGTTCGTCGTATCCAGCATCATCTGCACGCAGCATCCCCTCCCGCGCGCCGCACTCTCGCAACACCTGTGAGGAGAGGAAGAGCGCGCGAGCGGAGTATGCTGCCACGTGCCGCACGTCTCGCGCTCAGCCAGTTTCTGCCTTGGACAGTAAACGAAGCGGCGCGCGAGCTCACACAGCAGGCGAAGTTGCGTTACGAACCCGCGATAAAGTGGACGGACTGACCGCAAACACAGCACGACGTGCAGAAGGAGAAGGGAACGTGTTGCTTTTTTCCTCCCCTGAAGAATCTGCTTTACCAAGGTAAATTATTTCCGACTACTTTTACTTGAGCGTTTCTTTGGAAGTGTAGTTTTTCTTGACTGTTTCTAAGCTGCAACAGGAAACGTTTGGCTTTCTCTTTAAATCTTTAAATTTAAATCTTTAAATGAAAGCACGTATTTTTAATAGTTAAAAATAATTTCGTCGTTTTGTAGCGCCAAACGTTAGTGTAACAGAATTAGTTTCGTGAGGAGAGAGGAAAGTGAGAAACAGGAAGAAAAGAAAAATAATCTAGAATAAACGTTTGGCTGTGATATGAACACATTTTAATCCACATTTAATCTGAAGCGCAAGTGTTCCTGCGCCATTGGAGACACTTGCATGTAAACAGAATTCAGATATTTTCCGCCACTATAACACATTGTTTTCCACCAAGTCTGTGTTGTTGACTAAACCGTTCAATGTGGGAACATGTTAAAGGTTTCAGCACCATGGATAGTGATCTCAGTTTGAACGAATGAGCCGAATGAACGGAGCTGATCAGCCATATCAACTGTTGTTTGACTGAGAGTAAATGATTTATTTGTGAAAACATATTAAGCTCTGGAAAGTGACTGTCAGTACTTTTTCAAATTGCTTTATTTCTGGATCGCTTATCATCCATATTTTCATTTCACTGGAGGAATGTTAAATTAATATTACCTGTAATGTTATTATCTAGGGGATCAATAACATAGTTTGAACTGAATTTAATTAATACAATTATTTTAGAATTAAGCATTTGCACTCTGGTTGTGTGAAAATAAAAACTCAACAAACAGCCTCTATTTAAACTAAACTAGCAGATTAAATCTTTTTTGAATTTATTCCCATCTTTCCCAGGATTTGGGGATTGATTTATTTAATCAATGCAAACTGCAGTGTTTTTGTTCTGCTTTGGCTCATCCTTGAGATACTTTTTTTTTAGTCAGTTATTGCAGAAATGTTGCACGATTTCCATCACAAGATGCACAAAGTAGTCATTCAGCACAGCTCCTACCTGGCTTGCTGTTTTAAAAATAGTTTTCGTCCTCCTCACCTCTGCCTGCCTTGTTAACATCACACCGTTCACAGGTGTCAGCATCGCCCAAAGATTCACGTTGCTATGGGGAACCATAAGTAAAAAAAATAAAAAAAAGTAAATGCCTGAATCACAAATATCATATTGTGAAAAAAAATGTCACAAAAGTTGATCATATGTAATGCTAAATATTTTTAATCTGTAAACTGTTGCAGTACTTGCGTCTAGCGTTGTGCCTCGGCGGCTTGCTTGGTCAAAATCCAGCTTGTTTTAAAATGTTTTCCGCTTGTAAAGTAAATGAATGTTTTCTGCTCAGAAGCAGCCATTTTTAGTGCCAGTGAGGCGTTTAAAAACATAGTCAGAGGATTCACACAGATTAAACGAAGCTGTTTAAAAGAAAAGCATATTTATCAAGGTGAGCCTCCGGTTCATTCAAAGGAGAAACAAAATGGACGTTGCAGCAAGTTGGGCAAAGGAAATATCCTCTATTTGACCTTTTTGAGCTTTCAGGTAGTTTGTCAATGAACACGGTGGGTTTGGAAACGTTAGTTTCTTGGAAACGTCAGAGTAAAAGTTATCAAGTTTGTAATTTATTCTTACAACTGTTGGGTTGCAAATGTCAAATAGAAACTGGTCAGAAACCATGGCAACCGACACTGCAAAAAATATGAAAAGTGATGCAGAAATGTATCTGGGTTTTTTTTTTTTTTTCCTGTGGTATTAAAATAGCCTGATCATATCTCTTTATATTACAGTTCTAATCGAATGAAGTCAGTTTTGACCAGTCAAAGATTTGCAAAATCCAAAGATTGGAAATGAGCCTCAGGAGTCTGATGGGTGCATCTCTAACGTATAATACGAGATTTCTTTTTTTTGTAAAACTTTTTGTCATCTGGCTTTAAGTACTTTAACTGGTTGCTGTTTCATTGTTTAAATTCTTCTTTTGTCAGATGAAGGTCTGGTTTCCATAGAGCTGCTTTTACATGTCCCCATTGTGAGCGCAGGATTTTTTCTTTCTCAGTGAGTATTTCAGTGTTTCACGTGTCTCAAGGAACAGCCAGTTGAATATGTGTGCACTTAAACACACTGCTGTACATAAACATGCTTGTTTTGTGTGTATTCATAATTCTACATCTCAATCAATCATCCAGAAGAATTGAGTGCACACAGAATATGGATAAAAAGTGAAATGACTAACTGAACGCTCTTAACCAGATGTTCCCAGAGGATTCTTGTCCTTCTTGCCCGCACATGTACTGACATGTAATCAGTGTTTTTTTTCTTTTAAATAATTCATCATGAGCAACGTATTTATGTAATATTCCTTCGCCCTGTTTTCACTCCATCCTATCTCCCAGCATTTAAAATGCACTGCCAAACAGAAAGCCTTGTTTTGGGAATTGCTCATCTATCCATTCATGCCTAACTAATTTGGAGGCTTCTGTGTGTGGGGTTGCCTGGCGACAGGGCCATGTCAAGCTCTTATAAACGGCAGACTTGTTCTCCCAACAAACACGGGGAAATGGATGTTAGTACCATTGCTTTGGGTCACTGTTTTTTATGCCACTGTCATTTATTGTGTTTTTTTTTTCTTCTAGATTTTGCTTCTGAGGTAATTTTACGTGAAAAGACTTTGTTCCAGTTGTGGAGAAAATCATTTCGCATTAAGTAAATACACATAATTGTCACAGTGAACAACATTTGATGATGGAAGGAATTTATTGGTAATAAACAGAAGTTAAAGATTGGATTTATTCCTGCCATTAACTAACTAGAAAGGGATGTAAAACAGGAAACAAGAACAACATTAGCATTCTCGTTAACTAGCCTAGTACTTGTTTGGAAGAAAACTTTAATGTTTTTTTCTCGCTTTTTGGCTCAAACTTGTCGCTGAACATGACACAGACTGCGCAGTTCTAAAAACCAGAAAATCACGGTACGTCTTTACAACTAACTCAAGAGCAGTAGCAACTGAGAAAAGTTCAAATGAAAAGAGAGATCCAGTCGTGTCGCAGTGATTGGTCAGAAAAGGAGGAAACACAAAGAACGTTGAGGCGATCGGTCAAATTTGCAGAAAAGTTGCGATGACTGGTGAAAATTGCAAGTTCATGCAAAATTTTGCGACTGATGAGTGAATTTGCATTAATAGTTGCACTCCTGATTATAATGATAACAGCTGAAGTGTTAATGACCTCAGAGTCCAGAAGTCCATCTAGAAAACTTACAGAGCATGGGCTAGACGCCTCATTCCATCAGCTGTTTACATGCAGATATGTGACCCACTCAGGATCTTACATGGATTACAGGGATTTTTTTATTTTTTTATTTTAATGTTGAGAAGATGTGAAGGTGTGACACATAAATTTCCACTTCCTTCCCTGCCTTGACAGCTTGATCTTGCACTTCTCCACCGTCTTCCTCTGTTCTTTGCCAGATGAAATGTCATAAGATGCGTTCCCTGCAGCGGAGCTTAAATTTCAGTGTGTGCTCTGTGGTTGTGGGGAGGCATGCCCTCCAGGGTTAGCCAAGGCATCTCCAAAATTAGTCCGCTGAGAAATTATTCTGGCTTGTTAACGCTCTAATGGAAGAAAGCATTAGTGCTGGAGATAATGAGAAAACTGGAAGCATGTTCTACACATGATGGCACGCAAGTTGAAACGTGAGGAGAGGAAATTTGTTTTCGGTGGAGTCATTAAGTGCAATAAATATATTAACTGTAGTACTGCTGAGTGTTATAAAACAGCTTAAAGAGATGAGATACGTACCCAATAACCTAACAAAACACTGTTTGATTTTAACATTCTTTCATCTGGATTATTTGAGATAAAGAACACCTGGCGCAGTTTGAAGAATCAGCACCATTAGACTCTTCCTGAAAGGCTTCATAGCATGTTGAACAAACCCGAAAACATGTTTTGTGTCATTATAAACTTCGACTTTAATGTCTTTTTGGAAGATTCACGTAGTATATAAGCACAGATTCACACATATAATGTGAAGGATTCAGACTTTGTAGGAAGGCATTTGGCCGCAGTCGGACCCACGTGTCTTTTCGGATGTCTCTGAACAGCTCGACCTGCCCAACACTGATTTGTAACTTCAAGTTCAGTTAGATTGAAGGAATAATCTGTGTGAACACATTTCACATCTTGCCACAGATTCTCTACTGGATTTAGGTCTAGATTCACTGTGGAGATGGTGCGTTCAGGGTGCTTTACACAATTTATGGAATTTCATTTGTTTGCATCTTCTTTGACATTTTTTCGATCCCTTCCATGGCTTGTGGCAAACGTCAATGGGAACTGTTTTAATGACTTTCTTTAAACTGCAGTCATCTTCTTGTCACTTCTTCATAAAAGCCAATAATCATTCACACACTGGAAGCGTGAACAGTTATTAGTTGTCCAGTCATCAGAGCTCTGCAGCTCCTCCAGAGTTACCACATGCATCTTTTCTGATTTTTCCCTAACCTGTCTGCTGTTTGTTCACTGATGTTTTCACTGAACACAGGTTTTTATAATGAGCTAAACAAAACCTCACAAGACTTTTCAGAGGTTTATTTGCTGAAAGAAAAATAAAACTACGTATCCTTCCACTCTCCCAAATTTATATACAATTTCTTCATCAAAATCATACTTCTATATATTCAGCTCTGGGAAAAGGCCACTGGACTCAACTCCATTGAAAACCTCCTGGTTATTCCTCTAAATATTGATTTCTGAACTCTTCCTGAGTTAAAACATCAGTATTGTTGTTTCTAAATGAATATAAACCTGTTTTCTTTGCATTATTTGAGGTCTGAGATCACTGCATCTTTTTAGTTATTTTGACCATTTCTCATTTCCTGCAAATAAATAATAGATTTTTGCTTGAAATTTCAGAGACATGCTGTCAGTAGTTCATAGAATAAAAGAACAATGTTCATTTTACTCAAACATAAACCTGTAAAGAGTAAAATCAGAGAACCGATCATTTTAGCTGT